CTTCTTTCCAGTGGCACTGTCGGCTCGGCCACCCATCATTCTCAGTTCTGCAGCGTCAAGTCCCCGGTCTTAGTCATATTGAGTCCATGTCAGCTTAGTAAGCATTGTCGTGTATCTTTCAAATCGAGAGCTAATAATCGTGTTGCTAGTCCTTTTCAATTAGTTCATTCAGATGTATGGGGACCAATAAAACATATTTCTGTTAATGGATTTCGTTATATTTCGCAAAGAAATAAAAACTCAATTTGGGTGTTCCATTAAAATTTTACGTTCTGACAATGCCAAAGAATATTTCTGGGACCCTTTTGAGACTTATTTTCATGCTAAAGGTATCATTCATCAATCCTCTTGTACTTATACTCCGCAACAAAACGGAGTAGCTGAACGTAAAAATCGTCATCTCCTGGAAGTCTGTCGTGCCCTTTTATTTCATATGCATGTTCCCAAACGATTTTGGAGTGATGTTGTTCTTACGGCATGACATCTTATTAATCGGATGCCCTCGTCAGTGTTAAAAGGTGAATCTCCTCATTCTGTTCTATTTCCCGACTCCGTATCGTTTAATCTAGCTCCGCGGGTCTTTGGTTGTGTGTGTTATGTCCATAACCTTGGACCCGGTCTTGATAAACTCGACCCTCGTGCCACTAAGTGTGTTTTTCTTGGGTATTCTCGCACTCAGAAGGGCTATCGTTGTTACAGTCCTCATTTTCAACGCTATTTCACTAGTGTTGATGTCACATTTTCTGAGTCTCTCCCATATTTTTCTGATTCTACTACCCCGCTCAATATTACTTCTGAGCCACCTCTGCCAGCGGTTCCATCTCAGTTTCCTCCTTCCGCACCTCCTCGCTCTGCTGTTCCATTGCAGGTTTATAATCGACGACCTCGACCGCCTACTTCGCTCCCTCCATCTCCTTCAGAGTCTTTGGATCCGCCGCCTTTACCCGATGATTTGCCTATTGCTCTCCGTAAAGGTATTTGGTCGTGTGTTACTGCGCATTCCATTTCTAACTTTGTCTCCTACCGTCATATTTCATCCTCTTTATCTTGTTTTTTTATCCAAAGTATCTGCTACTTTTGTTCCCAAGACTTCGCCGGATGCTCTCTCTGATTTGGGTTGGCGACAAGCCATGGTGGATGAAATGGATGCCCTTTACCGTAATGGAACATGGGATCTTGTTTCCTTACCTCCAGGCTCCAAAACGGTTGGTTGTAAGTGGGTCTACACAGTTAAATACTTCATGATGGGTCTATTGATCGGTTGAAGGCTCGTTTGGTGGCAAAAGGGTACACTCAAACTTATGGTGTTGATTATGATGAGACTTTTTCCCCTGTTGCTAAGATTTCTTCTATTCGGGTTCTGATTTCTATTGCTGCGAATTGTAACTGGCCGTTGTTTCAATTGGATGTCAAGAATGCCTTCTTGTATGGTGACTTAGTTAAAGAAGTTTATATGGAGCAACCACCTGGGTTTGTTGCTCAGGGGGAGTATCGTCACGCTGTTTGTCTCCTTAAAAAGGCCCGTATGGATTGAAACAATCTCCACGGGCTTGGTTTGGAAAATTCTCTGAGGCGGCATTAGAATTTGGTCTTAACAGATGCCAAACCGATCATTCGGTATTTCATCTGCGCACTAAAGCTGGCTTCATTTTTCTTGTGGTGTATGTAGATGATATTGTGATCACAGGTGATGATTCTGCAGGCATTGCTAGGTTGAAGTTGTTTCTGCAAAATCGATTCCACACTAAAGACTTGGGTAAACTTAGGTACTTCTTGGGTATTGAAGTTGCTAGATCCAAGGAAGGTATAAGTTTATCTCAACGAAAATATGTGTTTGACTTGCTAGAAGAAACGGGTATGTTAGGTGGTCGTCCGGTTGATGCTCCTATGGATTCAAATACAAAACTTGTGTCTGATGAGGGTGATCTATTTAATGACCCGGGCAGATTTCGTCGCCTTGTTGGGAAATTAATTTATCTCACTATCACTCAACCTGATATTTCATATGCAGTTAGTGTTGTAAGTTAGTTCATGGGAGCTCCTAGAATGCCACATTGGATTGCTGTTCTTCGGATTATCCGATATCTCAAGCAAGCTCCAGGTTTTGGGTTACTATATAAATCAAATGGTTATCTCAAGGTGGAAGGTTTTACAAATGCTGACTGGGCTGGTTCTCTTTTAGATAGGAGATCCACTACAGGCTACTGTACATTTGTAGGAGAAAATCTTGTTATGTGGAAAAGTAAAAGCAAACGGTGGTAGCTCGATCTAGTGTTGAAGCTGAGTACAGGGCAATGGCCCATACCACTAATGAGTTGACATGGATACAAAAATTTCTAAAAGAACTTGGGTTGACAGTTGAAGCTCCTACTCCATTGTTCTGTGATAACCAAGCAGCTGGTCACATTACATCGAATCCTGTGTTTCATGAGAGGACCAAACATATTGAGGTTGATTGTCACTTTATTCGGAAAAAAATATTAAATGGGATTATCTCTACTCCATTTGTGAAGTCTAAAGATCAACTAGCTGATATGTTTACCAAAGCACTGGGTCATAACCGGTTAAGGACTATCTATTCCAAGCTGGGATTATTTGATATATATTCTCCAGCTTAAGGGGGAGTGTTAGAATGTTGGGTCATTATGTAATTACCCATAGTATTTAGGATTATTGTGTAATATTGTGTAATTAGGGTATAACCCTTATTCTTTATATAAGCCTCATTTTGGGGCTGAAGATATACATACAGAATACATTTTTTTTTTTTTTTCTCTCTCTCTCTCTCATGAATCTGAACACCTTTTAAGTAACGAAGGATCCAAATAACTGCATCAAGGTGAGGGGCACGAGGAGAGTGCATGAATTGACTCACAACACTCACGGCATAAGCAATGTCAGGTCGAGTCATGGATAAATAGATGAGCTTCCCTACAAGTCGTTGGTACTGACAAACATCTGACAACAACTCCCCCTTAGAATCAGCCAACCGATGATTCTGCTCAATCGGAGTATCAGCAAGACGAACGTCAAACTGACCAGAAGCAGAAAGCAAGTCAAGAACATACTTGCGTTGAGAGATGAAAATGCCAGCCTTGGAGCGAGCCACCTCAATGCCCAAGAAGTACCGTAGGGGACCAAGATCCTTAATCTCAAACTGAAGGCCAAGATAGCTCTTAACCTCAGCAATTCCGGTAGTATCATCACTGGCAAGAATAATATCATCGACGTACACAATGAGAGCAACTGTCTTACCGCCTGAATGACGTAAAAACAAGGTATGATCAGCTGCACTTTGATGGAGACCAAACTTGAGTATAGCAGTGCTAAAGCGATTAAACCAAGCTCGAGGAGACTACTTGAGGCTATATAGAGAACGACGAAGATGACATACCATACCAGAATGAGCAGGAGAACGAAAGCCCGGAGGAGGAACCATGTACACCTCCTCCTGCAAATCACCATTGAGAAAGGCATTCTTAACATCTAACTGAAATAGAGGCCAAGATTGAATCGCAGCAACGGAAAATAATACACGGATGGTATTCATCTTGGCAATAGGGGCAAAAGTCTCCTGATAATCTATGCCATAAGTCTAAGCATAACCCTTGGCAACCAACCGGGCCTTGTAACGAGCAACTGACCCATCTGGATTATGCTTAACTGTAAACACCCAACGACAACCTACAGCCTTTTGTCTAATAGGAAGCAGAACCATTTCCCAAGTCTGATTTTTCTCAAAGTGCTTGTAGTTCTTCTGTCATAGCATCACACCATTGAGGTTGTGCTAGTGCATCTGTAACACTAGAAGGAAGAGGAACCGAGGCAACAGAAACAAGAAAACTCCGATAGGAGGGTGAAAGAGCATAATTAGAAACAAAATTAAAAATAGGGTATGTACAAGAATGTTTATCCTTTCGAAGAGCAATGGGCAATCATTAAGCGAAACAATAGCTTGAGAAGGCAGAGCTAGTGCCGAAGGAACACGGCAGTCGATCATGGCAGTAGAAGCTTGTATCTGTTGTCTCAGACTATAAACCTGTGAGAAAGGAACAATTGAAGACGGAAGAAGGTGATCATCCATTATATTCAATGGGAACCATTCACTTTGAGAACCAACTGAACCATTATAGTATGGTGTATGCTTAAAGAAAGAAACATCCATGGATATAAACCGTCGACGGCTGGGAGGATGGTAACACCTATAACCTTTTTGAGAGTGAGAATAGCCCAAAAACACACACTTTAAAGCCTTGGGGTCAAGCTTTGTACGAGTTTGCCCCAACTGCTAAACAAAGCACACACACCGGAAGACTCGCGGAGGAATAAAAAAGAGAGATGAATTGGGATGTAAGATTGAAAGCGTGGCTGCAAAGTTAAGAACCCTAGAAGGAGTCTTATTAATGATGTAAACAACTATAAGAACTGCATCTCCCCAAAATGACTGGGGAACATTCATGCCAATGTAGATTGCTCTGGCCAAGTCAAGGATGTGGCGATTCTCTCTCTCTCCAAATGACCATTCTGTTGAGGAGTTTTAACATTAGCCATTTGATGCTCAATCCCAAATTCTGTACATAACTGTTGTACCTCCCATAAGTGTACTCCGTACCCTGGTCAGATCTGAATTTTTTAATGGTACGACCATATTAAGTTTGAACCATTGTCATAATTTTTTTTAAAAAGGTGTATACCTCATTTTTGGTTTTCATAAGATAAACCAATGTAACATGACTATAATCATCAATGAACAAAACGAAATATCGAAATCCAAGACTAGAAATAACTGGGCAAGGACCCCACACATCTGAATGAACAAGATCAAAAGGTGTTAAAGCAGATTTATTACTACTAGCAGGATAATTGGAACGAACATGTTTAGCCTTATGACATGTCTTACAGGATAAATCTAACACTACCACGTTACAAAATAAGGAAGGAAATAAATGTTTTAAATAACTGAAAGAAATATGTCCTAAACGCATGTGCCAACGCATAAGCTGGGCTTTATTAGATGAAACAATATTAGAAAATGAAGCTGAATGTGCTTGAGGTGACAAAGGAGCATCCAACAGGTATAGACCGTCCACTTCACGCCCACTGCCAATCGTCCGTTTTGACACCAGATCCTGAAAAATACAATGAGAGGGAAAGAATGTTACACTACAATTTAATTGTTTGGTAGTCAACTGCGGAACATGAAGTGTATCTGACAAAGTTAATGAAGCAGTAACTGATATGTGTCCCTTCCCAGCAATGGAAGATGGAGAGCCATCCACAAGGCGTACCTTGCGATGACCAGAGTAGACACTATAAGATTGGAAGAGTGAGGACATACCAGTCATATTATCCAAAGCACCACAATCAATGATTCATGGTGTCGAAGATGTAAATACGCTATGTGCAGACGCAATAGTACCTGAGTAGGCATAAGTGGAGGTTGGCTGAGATGATGCCTCCATTTGGTTGAAGAATTGCTTAAACTTGTCCAAATCAACTTGAGTCAAGGTAACTGTGGCAGAAGATGTAGAGGCAGAGTTGTCAGGAGTTGACAACGAGACTGGTTGTGTAACAGAATGTGCATAGAATCGAGGCTGTTGTTTTTGTTGCGGTGGGCGTCTATGTAGAGCATAACAACGAGATTTGATGTGACCAATTTTTCCAAAAAGGTCACACCGTCCGCGTTGTTGTCCCAGAGGAGGACCGGTGTTAGAGCTCTGAACTGACTGGGATGGTGCAGTTCCTGAAAGGTTGGGAACCCGAATTGCTATAGCAGAACGATCAACAGAACCAACACCTAATGGATGAGTCCGACAGCTCTCATCTGACAACACATAGGAGTATGCATCCTCAAGAGTGGGGAATGAAGATAAGCCCAATAAATGAACACGAGCATACTCAAACTCGTCGTTCAACCTGGCAAGAAACTGAAACACTCGATTCTTCTCCACAATTCCTGCATATAAAACTGCATCATCTGGATCCTTCCAAGAGTGGAAGGAATCATAATATGACATCTCCTCCCAAATAGCATGAAGCTTGGCGATATAACTTGAAACTATCAAGTCACCCTGAGAAATCCTGGGGATATCTCGCCCCAGCTGGGAAATTCGTGCATTATTCTGCCTTTGAGAATAAGTGCGTTGAACTAAATCCCAAATTTACTTAGCAGTCTTCATAAACATATAGCCAACAGCTATGTTTGGTTGCATCGAATTGACTAGCCAAGACATAACCATAGCGTTATTTGCAAACCACTGTGGATATGCCTTCTCTGACTCAGCTGGCTCTTTCTCAGAACTAGTAATATAGCTAATCTTGCCTTTGCCACCAACGAACAAATCAAATATTTGGAACCATCCAACTTCACTGTGGTGATTTGAAGTCCTGGATTTTCTGATGAGTTGGTGAGAAAAATGGCACCACCACTCACAGAACTTGAGCCAAGAGAATTAACAGTCGAGGACCCTAAATCTGCCATAATTTGTCGCACGACAAAAAACACCTCCAAAAACACCACAAATTCTGTTAATAAATCAAAGGGTCTCCTCAGACCATAAACAATAACAATGTCTCCTCAGACCATTCCCGAAAAATCCAAATACATACCTTTTTTAAGGAGCGCTGCCCACTTACATATAGCTAGACAACCTCCTTCTTAATATCCGGAGCCTCTTTGTAGACTATTATTATTATTTTTTTCCCCAAGTCCTTCTAGGTGTTGGAGACTAACTATCCCAATTTACCGAACCCTAGAAGAGTAAAAAAGAAATCGTAAGACTTAAAAATACCTGTTTTCGATCACAAAACTGCAACATAGAAAAACACGTGTAGGCAAGGTCACACGATGTCACAAACAGCCTAAGGTGGTTGTTGCATAAGTAACAAGGTAGTTGAAAGGTGTTGGCTCTGATACCAAGTAGAAATATAAAAAGAAGAAAAAAATGAGAGAATTATGTAAATGCTTGAATGAGATGAATTACTCATTCACAGCTCTAGTATTTATAGATAAAAAGAGCACATGCTCATACAACAAGAAAGGAAACTAAATCAAATCACAACATATTCTAAAGCATATTCTAAGCATAGTCAAATCTCTGCTATTATGGTAAGTCATTTCATAAATTGTGGCTATCATATATGCTAACATATGCATAGTCAAATCTCTGCTATTATGGTAAGCCATTTCATAAATCGTGGAATCATATATGCTAACAATATCATTGGGCCAAGCATTTCAAGCCCAAGGGCAACTTGGGCCAACTTTCAAGGCTGCTACTGGTCACCCATGCTAAATACTGAATTCAATTGCAATCTCAAACATTGAGTTGCTAAGGTGGCGACTAGTCGCCCAAGGTTGCTACCGGTTGCCCACCATATGCACCAAGGCAGCTTGAGGCTCGAAATTTATTCTTGAAGAGATATTTGAAAACAAAACATGCCAAAGATATTTATTTGCTAGGTTCATCAAATCCTATCGGACATTTACAAAATGTAAAGAAAGTTGGGGTGCATGCCTCACAAGTAAGATGTTGGTGTATGTGCAAAGTGAAGTACCATAGAAGTCGGTGACTACAAGATAGGCAATCTAAGCTATGGTGTGGATCACTTGCATCAAAACCCTGTTTCCAACATTTTTATTAACCCCGAATAGCAATTGAAGACATGTAACATGTACAATTCTATTGATCCAAAAATCTTTATATATATATATATATATATATATATATATATTTTAACTTCCAAAGGTATGAACTCATTGCTTAACAAGATTTAACCACACAACAAAAATAAAAATTTGGTTCCATACCCCCAAACTTGTTCATACATTGTCCTCAATGTAGAAAAACAATGAAGCATAACATAAAAGAATCTATATTGCAGAGAATGGTTATGAAAATTCTGGAGCACATGCTATCAAATCTTAAATCTTGCCAACTTGACCGCAGAAAGTTGCAATTTGCAACTAACATAATTGGTTTTAGTGAAATGAAATCTGGGAAATTAATTATGTCATGTTATATGCCATGATATAATCTAATATATGACCTAGACACTTAGCTCCATGCAATAGATTGAGCATTTTATTTTTTATGATAGTAAATTGAAGTCCCAAAGATATCGAAAGTTATGGCTGAAGATGAAGCTCCAAATTGTGAATGGACAGGTTAACTTTTGCTTAAGCTCAAATAAAGTTCATGTGAGCAAGAAAATTTACCTGGGAAGAGTGTGTTGATTATTGATCTCAATATCAGTGAAAATTTCATTTCTAATTTTCAAACAAAGGGATTTCATCTTCTTGTAAGCAGTGGAAACAGTAACAGCATCCATCAAAATGCCTTCATTATTTCCAGCAACAAACTCATCAGTCTCAGTTAAGTGCCTTCTTGATCTCTTTTTGGCAGCAGCCTGGGTTTTCACAACTTACTAAAATGATGGAATAGTAGAAACCAAAACAAGCATCATTTCACATATGTCAGTTTCACGAACCTGGAAATAGCTATACAGTTTATTCTGTGCCTCAGGAGATAATATATCATGAAGAAGGATGTATAGTTTTACAGCAGGCTCCAAACCAGGTGCTGCAAGCCCGGTTGCTGGTTTAAAAACATCCATAATCCCAGATGGTGCTGACTCATCCAATGATTTATAGTTCTCGAAGACAAGTGCAAGAATCTGTTCAATTTGATTCTCAATTTCTCCTAGCATGCGATTCTAATGAACCAAATATTAACATGCAAAGTGTTAGAAGAACTAAAGGCAGAAGGAAGCTTATTCTAAACAGAACATGGCTGTAGCACAAAAGCAACTCTAAAAAAAACATAAGTGCCATAAACGGATTAATAGTAGCAGTAGAAATGGTACTAATAATAATAACAAATTTAAGAATTTGAGTTATACCTCTTGATGACTCAGGGTGCTCTTACTGTGTCCCTTCATAACCACAGGCAATAACAGATCATATACCAGAGTGAGACAGTCAGCTGTGGGCGTGGCCACATCCATGATATAAGAAAGATACCTACAAACAGGTATAAGAGAGGCATCATTACCAAAGTATATTGCTGCCGAAGAAATAAAGAGTCAGAGATGTAGCCACTAGCTGATGAATTAATTACAAATTTATACATCTTAACGGCTTAACATTCCAAAAATAGAAACAAGCAGACAACCAAGTACTCTCGGTACCTTAGCTTAGTGTATATGTCAGAGACCCCATAATATGATGCAAATTCCTGCAGAAGCCACTTCCACGGCCCATGGAGCAATAAATTTCTTGGTTGAAAGTGTTGAATTTTCAACACCACTTCCAAAACCAGGTCGTAAGCCACGGTTTCTGCAACAGAACCACACTACAAACCAAAAAAAAGTACAAATTGTAAAACTACTTCCAAAGACATGATTATATGAAGATCCCATGTCTCCAAGTTCAGACAAAAAAAAAAAAAGAAACTTGAAACAATTATTCCAAGTTCAAAGGATAATGATAATATATAAATACTATAATGGAATTTATGAAGATCCCATGTCTCCAAGTTCAGACCAAAAAAAGAAAACTTGAAACAATTATTCCATATTCAAAGGATAATGATAATATATAAATACTATAATGGAATTTAGAAATGACTCTACCATTGATTAAAAATTATATCAGCAACGAAAGGATACACATTATCTTTAGGCTACCTATTGATGTGATGCCATGGGGGTTTATCTAATAAAAAGATGTATGTCAATTCTTCTATAAAGAATCAACAGTATGACGAAAACTAAAGTTACCAAGTATTAAAAAATTTAAAGATAGAAGTGAAACAGATACTCATCATATTTACAATATATCTCAATGCTGTCTGAACTATTACCTCCATTTCAATTTTTAACACAATTCCCAATAGATTGTAATACAAAATGTCACCATATAATAACCTTTTTAGTAGTTAAAGAGTGCATTTGCATCCTAATTCCTAAATCATCTTATATGGAACATATAGCAGCATTATGTCAAGCTCAAAACAACATTATGCCTTACACAACTAAATCAAACTACAAATTAATTACAAGCAGCAACTTATTAAAAAGATTTTTTTTTTTTAAGAGATTGGTTGTTTTAATTATATGTTTTTCTACATGGAGCACAGCGAAGCTCACCTTCAGATTATTGTTCTCATCTGAACTTGTTGAATAGTTTATGCAGAGCTGTAGTTTGCCAACAACCTCATGCTCTGGTTCATGATAAATAGACCACCAGCGTAGTTTGTCACCCTGTAGTGATCTTTACTATAAGCCTCACACCAAAACAATCTTCGGTACCAACTAAATTTTACAACTAAAGTTAGGATTTAGACAACTTCACTGGATCTTCGGCAATAGTAGCCACTTGAGCAAGCACACGACCATATTGCTTCCCCTTGGAGTCCTGGACTTCAACAATTAGATCATCTCCTAGGCTATCCGGAAAGCTGTAAAGTCATCAATACTTTCAGCTCAATATTTATACATATACATATACATATAGAAGAAGAAGAAGAAGAAGAAGAAGAAGAAGAAGAAGAAGAAGAAGAAGAAGAAAAGGAAGAGAGTACATACAATACATGGGTTTCACCAGATCCAGGTTGCATTTGAATAGTATCCCCTTCGGTTGAGCTTTTCAACCATAGCAAACAACAGTATGTTTCTGATGCCATTTACAAGAATCACTTTAAGTGAGAGTTGCAAAGTAAAGTGCATATATAAAGTAATTAGCCATTTGGTGGGCTCAACATGTCAAAAATCCAAAAGGCAACCAGTTAAATACATGGGGATCAGCATATAAATGGTCCACTGATTCCAACATCATATGTCTATTTATCATCTACGAATGTATTCTTATCAAGATGGGCACCGATGCCTTGAATAACTATGAAAACTCCAGTGCCTACAACTAAAAATTGTCAGTATATATTAATTCTTATGGTATTTAAACTACTCCAAAGGTTGTAATCAGAGCCCAAAACTCTGGTGCCTACAACTAAAAAATTGTCAGGTAATATTAACTTTTATTGCATTTAAACTACTCCAAAGGCCGCCATCAGAGCCCAAATCCACTGATTCCAACAACATATGCCTATTTATCATCTAGGAATGTCTTCTATGCTATTAATTTTTATGGAATTTAAATTCTTCAAAGGCTGCCATCAGAATGCAACTCTCCAGGAAACACAGCTTGGATGAATAATAGTTGTGTATAAAAATTAGTAAAATACATAATTTTTCCATGAATAAAGCATGAAGTACAATTACCTTGCACTTCATAAGATGATGAACTGCTGCGTGAGGTTGTTACGCCAACTTTCAGGAGTCCAGAGACCTGTTTTAGATATTGAGCACTAGCCTGCATGTATGCCAGGCTCTTCCGTGAAAAAGAGCCATTTGCAGGTAAACGAGGTACAAAACGGATTTGCCTCACTGCTTGCCATGCAGATGAGAGTGTTGATTGTAAACTGGAAAACTGACTTCGGACAGAATCCAGTTTAATCTTTGGTGTTTCAATGGATGAAAAACTGCAGCCTGTAGGCGGGTCAAGAGCCATTTTCACCTTACGAACTGCATAATGAACAAAATTTCAGGACAGTTTCACAAATGAAAGCACTTGACCAGCGAGAATGTCCAATCTGGAAATCAATACTACCTTGCACCTTCATCTTTCCCACCATTTTCTTAGGTTTAGGGGCAGATCCCTCATTAGCAGGCTTAGAATAGCGCTTTTCCAATAACTCCTCCTCGGATTGTAGTAGCACTTGTTGCAAACTGTGATATACAATAACAAAAAAATCACTAATTGTAGTAAAACTTGTGGAACATCCACAAATCAGAGGTCAATATTGCTTTAAAAATCTAAAATTTACAGACAATGTCTTTATAATGTATGTACTTTAACAACAAAGACCAAGTGCCATAGCAGTCAGATTTTCAGGTACATGCTTAAATGAAGGTAGACAAATGAACAGTTGAGCAAATTAATTTCCGTAGTACAATCCAATGTTGAAACATTTTCACGTGATCTGGAACTTCAATGGGCTCCTGTAAATTTTGAAAACTTTATTGGTAAGTCTAAATATCAACAATATAAGCCCCCTGAGAGGCTGCAATTATTCATATATTCAGAATTCTTCATCATTTCTCAGACTGCAAAATATTTTCACTTCTGCAGTGACATGTATGATCTTATAATAGGTTGATTATTAGCTGGATGAGTTTAGCTCGCATATGCATGCACCCAACTAAGATAAAGGTGTTAACTTAAATGACTATAAATACTGAAAAATATTCTATGCAGAAGGGATACAAAAATTCCATAGCAGATGCATTCTCTGAAAAGTCCTTGGGCCTTGGCTCAGGTTGTAAAGGGATGGGATGGGCTGGGTTAGGTCATAGGCGCACAACCAAAAAAATAAAAAGGAAACAATGAAAAAGTAAAGGATACATTGAGATAATAAGTAAACAAGCACTGATAAAGATGTAGAACTTTGAATAGCTACTAATGAAGCACCAATAAAATATGATACACAAGGTGGTGAAAATTGAAATGTTACATGAGTAACATATCCAGTGGAGATAAGAAGGGATTTAAATAAGAAATCTAAAATCTGAAGATAGTCGGCAAATCAATCTTGAATACATATAACTGAGTTAAGAGACTATAGAATACTATATTTGACAATAAAATATGTTTCAGACTCTAAATGGTCTATTGAAGCATATATTTTTTTTTCAATAATACACTCACAAAATTAAGAAACTTCACAAATAAAATCTCCAATAACTTCTACGCAGGTTGTAAAGGGATGTGATGGGTTGGGTTAGGTCTTAGGTGCACAACCAAAAAAAATAAAAAGGAAAGAGTGAAAAAGTAAAGGATACATTGACATTATAAGTAAACAAGCACTGATAACGATGTAGAACTTTGTATGGTTACTAATGAAGCACCAATAAAATATGATAGACAAGGTGGTGAAAATTGAAATGTTACACGAGTAACATATCCAGTGGAGATAAGAATGGATTGAAATAAGAAATCTAAAATCTGAAGATAGTGGGCAAATCAATCTTGAATACATATAACTGAGTTAAGACACTATAGAATACTATATTGGACAATAAAATATATTTCAGACTCTAAATGGTCTATTGAAGCATAATTTTTTTCAATAAAACACTCACAAAATTAAGAAACTTTACAAATAAAATCTCCAATAACTTCTACGCATTTTGTTTTCATACTATCAGCTTAATTAAATTATTTAACTTCGATTCTGTCCAGTTGCTCCGTGTAACAGTTCCTTTTATAAGTGAGAACAATAATATTGCTCGTTTATTATCCTTCTGATATTCTCTTGTGCAAACAACATAAGTAATATCTTTCGTAATGATTTCAGAAATTATTAGTAATCCTTTCAGAAAATGTATTGCTCCCAGATATAAATAGAAAACTCAACAAATGCTAATTGAAATGATGCCATTGTGAAAGAATAGGATGAGAATATTTTTTTTAAAACAAGTAGTATAATAGGATAAGAAAAGATTTAACTCACCCAAATGCATTTCGCAACAAAGCACATTCATTTTCTAAAAACATGGGCGCTTCCATGCATTGCTTCGCCCAAGCATGAAGGCAAAGCCGAACACATGCGTCATATGCAATCACAGCGTGCCACGGCCCTTGGGAACTGATATTAAATAACACAGCATGTAAGTACAGATAATAGAAATGACATAATTACCAATTCCATATTCAAAATTCTAATATTTCAGCTTATCTTCATCTAGAATGTAAGTAAGAAATACCTAGCACGAAATGTGGGGAGGCGAGCTGGAAATGAACCTGAAGGGACAGTGCTTTCTACACCAGCCTCAGTCCTGTGGAACAAACATAAGGTATTATATTTAATCCAAATTACAACAATATGAAAAATATGCTTCTGGATGCTTACAAATATGCCTCCCAATGTAACAGTTATTACACAAGGTTTCTGAAAAAGAAAACTGCAACATTTATACAAACCTTGCAGACTGGTTAGATATCTTCTGTCCAGTATTATCCTTTGGATTAACCCTAGTTGCTGCACTTTCTGAAGTATTTGGCTCATTTCTAACCGAAAAATCATGTAAACCTACCACACAAGGTGTGTGATGTGCTCTAAACGTTGTAATTTCTTCAGTCTCTTGCTTGATTTCCCCAGCAGAACCACAAAAGGGAGCACTCGCAATATCAAAATCACTCTGCAGGTTTCTAGCACAAAAGTCCTGCAAAACAGTGATCAGCTTGGCAACAAATTATCTACATTTGAACTTTGAAATGATCATTTCAAACACAAATTTTGCAGGTAATGAGTAATGAAAATATGATTCTGCAATCATACTTCTATTATAGAAGAAAAAGTTAAATTCAGACAAATATATAATTGGCACTGAAATTCCGAGAGCAAATAACGATATAGATGACCTTGAGAGTCAGATTCATGCTTCAGTTCCAGCAAATTTTTATTTTACATGGACACTATTTAAAAATAAAGTACCTGTGCAGGACACAACATGAAATGGCTGACAACACTTCGGCATGTACCCACACCTGATCAGAACACCATGTCCGTGTGACATTGGTAAATAAAAAGACACTAAACATTTTTATGGCCCAGATGTGTACCGTTCTGGGTCGGCCGCTGGGAGGAACTACAGATTTTCTTTCTATTCAGCTGGAGAAGACATATAAATCTATAAATGCCACTTTTTTCTCCAACAAGCTAGTTTTACTTCTACCAACATCTTTCTCCGTTCTAAATGCTTTCACTGCATTCTTTTAGGAATCAAAAGCATCATTATTTTTTAGCATATCCAAAAGGTGGCCACTGTCTACGTTGTTCTGATAAATTCATCTATTTGCCAAGTGATAATTCATGTACTGCCTACACGGGCCATTTCCAAAGGATAGTTCTAACTTTTGACATCATTTCTACAGTGACTGCCATCATGCTTGAAATCACATGTGATCATTCATAAATGTGATAAAATAGACTCCATTTCCAGCTTCACTTGAAAACAATTAGCTACCCTGAAGGATGACTCTGAAGCACTCATCACGCAGTTACTTTAGAAAGGAAATACTCCATAAAACATGATTTATGAAAGACATTACTAGTACACGATGACTATTTACTCCAACTCAAAATTGGATTAAGAAGATGCATTATATCAGCTCTCCACTCACAATTACGGGACTCAATTCTAGTTCCAACAATCAGGCAGACTCAAAAGGTAAATATTGCAGCACTAACTTCTTATTCTTCAAGATTTCAAATTTGGATTCCCAATACCATCAGAATAGAAGAAATATCTACATTATAAATGAGTTTGAAATACTTAAAATTCCAATTCTTGGGGCCATGAGAAGGCAGGCCCCAAGAAGTAAGAGCACGATTCAAAAATACCCAAGCGTAAGCATAAGCATCAACATCCACAAAATGAGAGGAGGCGGGGGAACATATTGTCTCTTGCATGTTATAGAAAATGCTCTTGACAATTCTTTCACGTCTTATGTCATCATACTCCCCCTTATGAGTGCTTGGGAATTTCAATACTTTAAAGATGTAAAATCACCACAAATGTTGCAAATATATAATTTAATCTACTGTCATATTCTCTGCCCACTAACAGATAAACAAAGAATAAACATGGAGAAATATGCCAAAATGATTTCCTTAGACTAATTTTTACAGTTAATAGAGAAGTGAATGTTCTGGTGCTACAAAATCTTTTAAAATTGGTCAATCCACATTTATTAGAATGGAAGCTCAAAATCTACAGCACACTCTTGTGAGTTAAATAAAAACTACAATACATTTATTCCAATACCTTGAGCAGCATAACTAATACAGCATGCAGAAATTTTCTATAAAACAAGGTTTAGTTTAGCATCATTAATCGCTGTATTTTCTAAGTAAAAACCAAGTTACGATGTAATTCCTACATCATAAACACACAACATCAACACAATTACTTATCATTTAGCACTTACAAGAGAACCCAAAGTGTATTTAAAGCATAAAATACCTCATTTGGAGCAGTTTCTGCACTCATCCCCGAAACAAAACTCGACTCATGCCCCTTGGAAACATATGCTCTTGTACGAGGCACGCCTCTATTGTTGCTCTGCAGTTGCGTGGTTGAAAATTCGGAGCTCATGGCAGAATCCGATGACTCATCCTCAGTAAAATCATTCCGTCCAATTGGATACCCATTGGCTCCCCTCATCTGTCCTTCTGCCACATTCCAATGCCCTCTCCCAAGTGTTTCCCTTGATGAACTAACACGGTCATAGTACATAGAATCACTGACATTCTGCTGTGGCCTCTGCGCAGGACTGTAGTATCTTCGAGCAGCAGCACTACTAGGAACTCTGTCATCATGTGGTGACGAATCTAGTGAGTATCTTCCCTTGTAAACCTCCTCCTCCGAATCAGCGGTCAGATCGTTCCCAGACGCAGACTCACTATCATCCACATCACCACGCATGGCTCTTGAGACTGGAATTACCCCTGACAAATGCCCACTCCGTAATTTCGACGGCGGAGGCAGGCCGAAGCCCCGACCACCATGGCCGCTCCGGATGTTGGAAATGGGATCAATTCGAGGTGTTAGGTTTGACATTGAGTTAGGAATATCCGTCCTTCGATTGACAGAACCCTGAATTCCAGTTTTAATTTTAAGTTTGGCGAAATGTGAAAAAATCAACACACACCCATTTCACAGCGCACAAGGAACAAGCAAATATTCATAGAACTGTCAGATTATCATTCTTTAAAGAATGCAAGTTAAATCAACCAATGCCCATACCCCAACACACCATGAACAATCAAAATATAACAGGAAAAGCAAAGAAAAGAAAAGAAAAGAAAATTGAAGCAATATTCATAGAACATTCAGATTAACATTCCTTAAGAATGCAAGCAAAATCAACCAACGCCCAAATACCACAATACACCATGAACAACCAAAAATGTAATAGGGAAAAGAAAAGAAAATTGAAGTGAAAGAGAACGAAATGCTAATTGAGTATGCGAAGTCTGACCTCATTGACCCATCGAAGGGCATCACTGTCAAGTCCTTCAGTGAACATATTTTTGCTTAGTCTCTGTATTCACCTACAACCCAGAATCGGAATCACATTTTGCGAACAAGAATCAAACATCAAAATCTTCTACTACTTACGAGTATTAAACAGCACTAAAACTCACATACTAATCACACTTCAGAGATCCAATGGCCGTCACCGGATTACAAACTGAACCAGAGTGTTGTAGAGAGAGAGTGAAGCAGGGAAAAAATGTGATCTAGAGAGAGATCAGAGCAGATCAAAATTGAAAGGAAACAAGAAGCCCTTCTGCTCAACTCAGCTCATCTCTCTGCGACAAAAATACGCCAACGCTTTACTATTGCAGTGGAGTTGCAATTTGGGAGGGGGTTTTTCTCTCTCTAAGCCACTCTATTTCTCTCTCTAAAAATAAAGAAAGTTTTATCATTTTTACTACAGCATTTTTTTAAAAAATTCCCAATTAAAAACCAAATCCTACAAAGTAAGACAATACGACGTTGTATGTCCGTTGTGATCCCCCCTTAAACGGCGTCGGGTTTATCAACAAACAATACGACGTTGTATTACGTAGGGTGTACAAAATGATAAATCTAGAGAAAATGAGCGAAAATTGAGAGGAGATAAAGAACACGTCGACGCGCAGAGTCTGACGTGGCAGGTGAAATAAAATAGTCGAACGTTGTAGTAGTGGGAACACACGCTCTCCAACCTTTTTACTAGCTTCCCGCTTTTAATGCTTACTACGAGAAGAATGAGTCCCACATGGTGTGGTGGGTCCCACCCACCATTCTTTTGTTTCTCTCTCTTAACGGTGATTTGTTTGACGTGCTGGTGGTGGTCGTTTGGTTTGGTCACTTGCGATTCAAGACTCGTGCTAAATGACCAAATTGCCCAAAACTTGTCACTACTAGTAATATTGGCAAAATTAAAACGTACAGGGCACTGCAAATTCTTGTAACTCTTGTCTAATGAATTTGGATAATTGGTGGAATATATATATATATATATATGGATTTTTTTTTATTTTCAATGACAAACCTATATATTTAGATAATACCATTACTCTTTTGTTCCATTATATTTCATGATATTTGCATTTTTCTTCAAGTAACACAATTTTATTTTGAAAAGGTCAGAATAAATATTATTTACCCCGAGCAAAATTTAGGATACTTTTACCTAAGAAAGGATAAGAAATTGCAGGCTTATGTATCATTTTATTCGATTTGTATGGAGAGATGCCATACTGCCCATGCACGGTGTCTCAGAGATTTAAAAAAAATAAGAAATTATTTATTTATTTTTAAGATAGAGAGTTTCAGCAGTATACTAGTAGAAAATGTTGAACTGTCCTAATCAGATTATTCGGCACGTAATACTTACACATGTGGGAAAGCAACAACTATACAAGGCATTGTCTGTCCTTTTCATTTTTTTTTTTTGGTTTCCCTTATTTTTTATTCCTTTGTCCTTTTCATTACAGGCCTAAGTATTTATGTTCCAATTATTATTCGAATAAGTTCAAGTCCCGATCCATATAATTTTGTCAACGTCTGTGTTTGAATCGGATATTATTATTTCAACGTTTGTATTTGAATCCGGGTCGAAATAGGGTCTAATGAAATTAATTCATATTCAAAACATGTTGCAAATTTTAATAATCCAAATAAATCATAACGTTTTGTGAAATATGACTTGGCCTAGATTAAACCCAAAAAACTTATTTATTATGGACTCAATTTGACTCTGAAACAATCCTTAATTACAACATTTGTTATATTCATCTCAATATAAGATCATTTTCTTTCATGTCTTATTCTCTTTTCCCTCTACCAAATAGGGAGGATTTCCTACCTCTTTTTTATTTTCATATATTGTTATTCGATAAAATTGAAAATTAAGTAGTCAAAATTTTAAGAGTTGAATTTTAAATATTAAAGTTTCTAAATGATATATATATATATATATATATATATATATATATATATATATATATTATCACTATTTAAAATTCCAGTTTTGAGCATTCAGTTGATTTTTTAAAATTTTACTCTCAATTTTAACTAATACTTGCTGTTTTAAGTGATATTTAAATTGTAATTAATCGCTAAATTGAGTTACCAACCAACACAACATGGTAAACTCATCTTGCAGTTGACACCAAACTTTTTTTTTCTTCTTCTTCTAAATTGATGTTGGCACCAAACTTGTCTACAAAATTGACGGACTTGTGATCATATGGTGTTTGTCTGTTGGTGAAGTTTCCAACCCCATTTCTTCCTGGATTTGGAAAAAGGAAATGATGTTGCCATCCATGTGTGGGGTCTAAAACCATGTGCTATCCTTGTATTCAAATCTACAACACCATACCACGACCATCAAATTGTTCCATTTTGCATAAGTCATTGATGACCAATTGATCGAGCTTTGAACTTCTCCAACCGTTGTATTTGTACTATCAACCACCAATCAAGTTCCAACCATTGTATTTGTACTATCAGCCACCAATCAAGTTCTTCAAATCACATGTATTCCTTCTATCCCAAAAAGAATGTCTTGTTTTTTTCTTCCAAAAGAGACATTTATTTTGGAACAGAGATAAAATCATTTAAACCCAATTATTTTTGGCCTATGAGAATTGAATTCATCTTACGGGTCTCCACCTATGGGTTTCAACAATATGAGTACTAATAACACATTATAACACATGAATATGAATGTAGAGCACGAGAAACAACTTTTTATTTCTTGATTATTTCAATAAAATCTCTTTGGTTCTCAACAACAACAACTTAGTTCAAGGTCAAAACCAATTTGATTGGAGCCTCATTGTTTGAACTCAGAAACACACATTCAATTCGAAAAGTGGATTCGTAAATAAAACTTATTCATACAATGCATCGACATTACACTCCCCGAGGAAAACTTTTATGCTCCGAGGTGAACCAGAACTCCCTTCAGCAATAAGCGCTCTATCATTGGCAGCCATGTGTGCGATAATCTTGTATATCATTTCAATCTGCCACCGTAAAATAAAGAAAAACAGTTCACTCATATTGTTATATAGAGGTGTAAAATACCAAAGTGAATTATAGCTTCAATCTAGCAAGGATTTTATACAAGGGATATAGAACATACATCTTCAGGAGCATGGCAGCGTTCGGCTACTTCCTCAAGTGTCAATGGCTCAACGGGCTCTTTACAGCTGGGAAAACATAATAACACAATGCTAGTTATCAGTGTTCAACCTAAACAGGAAGGCAAAAGACACGCAGCACAAAAGGAGAATTGCATTTCCAACCAGGTCATTTGCTCGGTAATCAATAATCCAAGTCTAATGTGTTGCAAACACTGGTAGACAACCTGTACGGTTATAATAAATGTCCCACCGTAAAGGTTATTCTTTCTAACCAGGTTTCAATTAGTATTAAGTTTCAGGCCTGACAAGAGAAGCTCCTGGGTTGGTAGGTCGGGGAAAAAAATGCATTGAACCTTTCCAACTTTGGAATCAAACGTGTTACTGCAATCTGTTATGCATGCAGCAGTTTTGAAAAGTGTTGGAAATGTGGTCCGGTCAAGTATTTGGATTGGTTCACCCTGATAAAACAACAAAACAGGTTGGTTGGGCTTTTATGATGCCAAAGGTAACTACTCTCAGTGCACTAACAGGAATGTCAGAAAACTATATTCACCACTTTTCAAAGTCCATTGTCAAAAAAATTTAACCAAATAAATTGTAATAAATAAACTTCGAGAAAGTTTCTGATTCTCTTGAATCAATTCAAATACAGTTTTATCAATCCTCTCATTCTGTCCAAAGCCAAAAGCTACAGAATTTCTCCTTTTGCAATGTGTCCCATTGGGTCAAGTGGTTCAATCATGTTGCCGGTTCACTAGGTGAAGTAATAGACCTGCCTGGATTGATTGGTGGTTTTTGAAAAACTGGATTCTTAAACAGATCAATTGACACAATTCAGTAGGGGAGGCAAAATGGTTCCTAACCCACTAACTCACCCATATCCGCCCGCTTTTTAATGGATATGGGTGAACCATATTAAGATGCAGGTTGAATATGGGTATTCACCCATATTTATAAAGGAATAAATAGGTTGGAAATGGGTACCCATATTTCACCCATTATATAAGAGACCCAGATTCACCTCCTTTCTGTCTCTAAAATTCTCTATCACGATCTCCTCTCTCTCTAAGATTATCTCTCTGTGGCTCGCCCCCCCTCTCTAAAAAATTCTCTCTAAGATTCTCTCTGCCTATGTTATAACAACTCCAACATGACAATGCCTGTTCAAATGTGCACATGTGAGGCCGTCTCTCTCTCTATATATATATATGGATATGTGTGTGTGTGTGTGTTTGTGTGTGCATTCTCATTATGTATGCTTCAGGTCTCCAGTAATGTGTCATCCAATGCTATGCCTCAAAAGCTCACATCTTAACATGGTATTTAAGAGTTTTACTAGTGGTACTTCTTAATCTCATCAACTATAGCACCATTGACGTCCAGTAACAGGAAAAAAAAAAAAAAAAAAAATTGAAACTTTTTGAAAAACATGATTATTAATTTTTAATGCTATCCTTTTTTTTTGCCCCTTGTTAATGCCTAATTAATGCTCTCTTGACTTTGCAGGCATAAGCTATTATGCTGGACTCTCTCTCTCATTTTTTATTTACACAGCGATTCATCAATACATTAATCCTTGGTCAAGTCTTCTAGACTTTCATAGCATTAGAAGTATTTAATTAGAGAAAGAAAAAAATTACTCTTATCATTTATGAAAAACAAGTTGGGCTTATAACGTGTCAGAGTCTTGTAAACAAGTCATTTTATAAATAATAATAAAAAAATAACTAAAATGGGTTGTTGGGTTATGCGGGTTGACCCGGCCCATATTTGACCTATTACAACGGGTTGAATGTTTGACCCATCCATATTTAACCCGGCCCAAATCCGGCCCAACCCACCTGTCTACCAGCCAGACCGGACCAGGATTCAACACGAGGAACCAGGACACATTTCTTTGCCAAAAACTCAGTCACTCTCAAAAATATAAATGTATATCACTAGATGCAAAATCACATCAACAATTAGTTGTCACCTAAAATGGAAAAATGTCTTCAAATAGAGAGTGAACAAAAAGAAGTAAAAAGTAGTAGTAGTAGAAGAAGAAGAAGGAATCTACAAACTTATTACCACTTTAATGGACTTCGCACTCAATGGACCTATTCAATTAAAGCTAAATGTTAAAGATTTATGACATCATAAAAACAGAATTTTCCAAGGCCTTAAAACAAAGGAACCAAAAGTCCTGTATTGCTATAATATATATATTTTTTATAAGTACGTATTGCTATGATATTAGAACCATGACAGGTACCTGGCCTCATTAAGTACTGAAAGAACCCGCTTCTGAAGAGCTAACACTTCTCCCGCGGCTTTCTTCCCAGCTTCCACACCTGGGATGATAGTAAAAAGCACGGATATAGAAAAGACAAGAAAATGGAAGGCAACAATCAAACTAAGAACCCAAACAGCAGCACTCTTCTAGTGCAAAGGACTAGTGTAATAGTTGTGTATATAAAGTGCTAAGTCCTCCTTCAGGAAAGAAAGATTGTTGATCATAGAAGAGGAACACAGAGAGAAGGGACACACAATGCATGTGTTCCTCCGTGCATTACATTTTTTTTCCTATCACCATTTATTTACTGCTATATTACAGTTATTTCTTATAATAATCCTTCTTAATGCCAAGTGCCAATTCAAGTCTGGCCATAACAGCTCCAATATGAAAACTGCTTGTCAGACTAAAGTAATGAGTTAACTCGAAAGGATAGAATAGATGCATGAATTATCTTTTAGGTCACGTAGCTTGGTGCTGAAGGCATGGTTAGCCAGAACAACAAGCATGGTTAGCCAGAGAATAACAATTTAGATCTCAGTTCCTGTGTAAATTTCCATTGGAATACAAAAAGTAAATAAATATTTACCAGGTTGGTGGTAAGCATTAATGTTGACTAGTGAAGCATATATCCCAACTGCTCGCTCATACAGTGCTACCATAGCACCCACCGATCTAGGCGTGACTTCCTGCACGGAGACTGTAATTGACTCCCGGTCATTGGCATATAGAGCTGCCCTCGTTCCCTGAAGAAAAACAAAACAAAACTTTTACCAATACAATAAAGTTGAACTTTCATCTATGGATTTATTAATATTTGTTATGTGCTTAACACTCGTCTCTGAAAAATAACATGGGTGTTTCATCTGAGCAACCCACGTATGCAGGAGTACCACTGGCTAGTGGCTGGCACCAACTGCAGTTACTCAAATACTTTTTTCTGCTTTGTCTTTTAACTTCTAAAAACATATAAATAAAAGATTAATTTGCTTTCAAATGGACCCTCAACCAAGGGCTTTTTTTGTTATTCGAATCCTGAAGCACCAGTACTTTCCCATGCTCAAATCCATGTTAGTAATATTAGAAAGCACCTAAAGAAATGAGCCCATGTACACACAATGTACAAACGAATACACTATAAACTGTTAGCATCTCGTCTCTCCTGAAAGTATAAAGAAACATCTAATTCGAATTCTCCTTCAAAATCACAATACTTCAAAGACTGATAGGAGATTCTTCCTATTTCTCCAAGGCCATATTTAAAATCTTAATGTGTATTTCTTCTTCCTTCCTTCTTGTTTTTTTTTTTGTTGGGGGGGGGGGGGTGACAATTATTCTCTCTCCCCGTCTATAGTTTCACGCCTCTTATTAAATTTGCAGGTCAGAGTGATCCAACTTCTAGGCTACCTGAAATCAGCATCCATACCAAACATACACAACATAAGCCCCACAAGCATCTAGGCACCTTACTACTCTTAGAAATACCACAGAAGATGAAGGACCTATATAAAAAAGGATCCTAGCCCAGTATGTCTCCGTTAATCGAGGCTGCTGGCAAGGTAGACTGAATACAGACCTAACCTCTAGCATAATTTGCACAAAGTGATTGCTCCCAGAATTAGAACCCGTGTTCTCACGTTTAACAGCCCGAGAATTTACAGTGCACCATGCATTAACCTTCTGTGGTAAAATTTATTTTGACTACATACTATAGAGTATAAGCGTTTAATTCTATTATGTAACTAACATGAAGAAGATCTTACAAAATAAGTAATGAAGTGTTGAAATTAAATCATGATATTCATAGCAGTAATATCATGCTTCAGATTCAATTATACCAATAGAGGGACCTTTACCTCCAGTATATTTAACAACCACTGGTTCTAGCACTATGAGTTGAATGTAACAAAAAAGAATTCATTACAGAACTCATTAATTAGGGACATAAACACAAACACCATTCAATTATACATTGAGGGGAGTTGATTGTTAGTCAATACAAATCCCATTTCACTACAAACCTCGTGGAAAATTATGACTACTACCAGAATGTCAGAAAAGTTCTCTTTCCTCTTTCCTTCTCTTTCCTTCTTTCTCTTTTCTTTCCTCCTCTTTGGGTATGCAAGATACACACACATATCTTTAGAAGAGTTTTCACAATTAATATAAAAATATAGTTGAGTAAGAGGATCTGACTTTAGCTTTCCTCCATCCCTAACGTAGCACATTATCAAAGAAAAAGATTCAGCCACCAGACCTCTACTGCAGTCAGTCACTATGCCCACCTTGGAATTTTTCACATAGAAACCACAGACAGTATCCTGATACCACAATGCTTATAACTAGATTAGAAAGCTAACCTGTAGCATTCCAAACAGGTAGTCCCCACATGTGACCCCTGGCTCAAGCTCCCAATCATGACCTGGAGGTCTATCGCGTAACACTTCAATGAACGTCACAAAGAAATTGTGCACACCGTCTCTCAGTTGTTGAATATAGCTGCAGAATACATGGAAGGCTTAACCATAGTTGGCACCTACATATAAATGATTAAATTTACAACACGGGAATGAAAACTCACGCATGCTGATCTGTGCTCCCTTTATTTCCATATACACTGAGACCTTGATTCACCTGTCAGGAAAAAAAGGAAGGTGTAAAATGTCAAGAAGAGAGAACATACCGTATTATAACATTGGCATAGAAGGTTACAAGGTTTGCAGAACCTATATTGGCAGCAAGATTCCACTCAGGGCACAAACCTAATAAAATGCAAAGTAACATTCCGTGGATAGCACTAGACAATAAACCAAAGAGACGAGAAGGAAATTGGGTTGCATTTCAATCTACTTCAAGAGCTACAGTTATAGTAACAAACTTGGTGGTTATCCTAGCATAGAAATTATATATAATAGGTCCGCATCACATATGACATGCACAATAGTTGACAGTAACACAATCACGAGAACACCAAGTCGTAACCTGGTTTGGCACCGCCGCTTATGTCCATCACTCCATCCCTCAAGAGCACTTCTTGAGGATTCCAAAATCCACTATACCACTCTCCTTCACTTGTGGAGAGAAAATTTCACATCTTCCCTTCACAGGTGGAAAGCAACTTTACAAAGCTTCATAAGTTTGTCTCTCTTTGCTAAGTGAACACCTCACCTAGACTTCAAGGGCTACACCAACCCTTTTACAACACTTTCAAGAATAGAAAGATTTAAGTACACAAGATTTCCCTCAATGGATAGATAGAACAAATCAAAGCTCTTTCTAGAGTAATGGATGTAGCAAGCGATGAAAGCTCAAAAATATTTAAATGTATACCCTAATTTAGTAAAGCAGTTAATAGATGAGGGTAGTGAGCCAAGGACCTTCTATTTATAGCCTCATTGGGAAAAGTCTGTAATAGCACTTGGAGGCCTACTTGGTTTCCCGGATGGCGAAAGTTGGTGCTCATATAGACGTCTGTTTGTGTCTGTATAGACGTCTATGACTCCTTACATCTTTATAGTTAGACATCTGCACCCTTTCGAGTAGACGTTTGTAGGAGTTAAGCTCAGAAATTGCCTCCTCGGTCAAGTCTAGAATCGGGAAGGCAAAAAGTCTAAGTGATATAGAAGTCTGTAAGACATTTTCATAAAAAGAAAACACTGAATCTGCAGATTTTTATTTATTTAATATAAGTAGACCAGAGAGCATTTTAAGCCCGTAGACATTTATAACGACTTCTTCTGAAAACTTCTCACTGCAGTTTCTTGCCAAAGCATGAAGGTATTGATGTCAGTAAAACCATTATAGACGTCTATAACTTTTTTTGCATTTCAGTTCATTTGTCATAGGCCATGAAGGCGTCCAGTTCAAACCATGAAGACATTTAAGTCACTTATGATCTTGAATTTGAACTTTTTGAAGTTCAGAGTGACTTTCACCAAGTTTTTTTTTTGATAAGTGACTTTCACCAAGTTCAATGACCATTTTACCCTTATAATTTAAATCATCTAAGTCCAAGGGTAATGTCAGTCATTCTAGGGGCCACAATATGATATGAAATTAATTCATTTGGTCCTAAGTCCATTTTTAGAGTCCCAGACTTCAGCTTTCAAAACACATGCATCATGCTTTATTTTACATTCAAATCTAACACTCAACCTATACTAACCATGATCTTGACCTCCATATTTCCATCATTATAATCCATGGGTGAACATGAACTTCGAGTACTTGAGCTTTGTGAGAAATCTGTGAATAAGAACCCTCGAGTAAATTGTTAAACTCACATTAATAGGTTGTTATCCTCAAAATTACCAAGATGCCCTTGGGTTGAAACCTTGCAGTTAATATCATTGTGTAGGTTTGACAAGGTATCTTGGAAAATCATGCTTGAACACTCACAGTTTAAGCTAATAAGAAAAATCATCAACCAAAAGAACTGCTAAATTTATTCTAACCATGATTAATGAAGAGCAACCATCACAAAGTTTGGCCACTTCTCATATCTGCCACCATATCCAACGTTAGACTTATCTTGTCTATTGCAGACGGGTAACAACGTCTTGCATCAGAATAACTGGACGCTTATAATACATCAGGTATAATCATAAAACAAAACAATATGTTGCCTCCAAATTTTTAGTTATCAATAACAAGTGAAGAATACATTATGAAGATGGAAAATTATATTTGAAATAGTATCTGAATCATCAAATTTTGGTTGATAAAGAGGAAGGAACTGAAGATAATCTATTAACTAATGACTTTGGCTTACTAGAGATGCTGAAATGTTATTTTAGGTCTCAGATAGAAACAGAATACAAAGTAACTAGATAATCATGCCAGTCCTCAACCTCTCTAATAAATGCTCCAAGAAATTAACCACTAACTCAACCCCCTAATCATTACTATGAAATCAGACATCCCAAAGAATTTTATTCGTGTCAATACCATGAACATTTGCAACTAAAGTTCCTCATCTATAGGAAGCCAAAAAGGTGTGGATGAATGCTACCAAGTGTTTCCTAATCCTCCCCCTGACACCTACTAATTATCACCATTTTGAGCAAACCCTTCAAATGGTCTTCCACACTCCCAAAGCCTAATTAAACACCTTCAACATATCACTCCTAAAGCAACTACTTGAATCGGAGAGCATACCGTATTTAAAACAACAAGATGGCATTTCCTTCAAACGGGTGGGAAAGGATTTCAAATTGGATCTCCTTTTTTTTTTTTTACTTATCAGAAAAGAAAAAAAGAAATAAAAGGCATTTGAACTCCTCTCCATCCCCTTGAAGGAAATCATACTGCTTCTTTTCTACCTTTTGGCACAAAGAATGTATACTACCTTGAGTAATATCTTCTGTGACTTCATAAGGAGGAGGTGCAGAATTATCAATATACATATATATACATCGTGACCTACCTAAATTGATTTTAGTCCTAACAGATATTATGAGGTTCTCTCTAAGACTGGGCAGCAAGAATAACAAAGCATATGGACAAACAAAATTTGAAGATTATATCCTCTGACAAAATAATAAACCCAATTGGATTTTCATGAGCAAAATCAAGCAACGCTTGACCCAGTAATACATAGCATTAATAGTTTCCACCAGGCAAGCAAAAATAAAATCTTCAAAAAATTTGCCCACAATGCATCAACGAACAACTTAAAAATAGAAACACAAACCAAAAAAATTAACATGAGATGGTTGAACTTACCCGATTACCATCAAGGTCAAATTCCTTCCCAAGCGATTCCATGACCAACTGCTGCAAATATCTACTAAATAATAGTAGGCTATCCTTGTAAGGAAGGACAACCATATCCTACAGAAGCCCAAAGGAAGACAAGCACATCTACTTATGAGTGAAACTGCAAAGGAAAACTACGTAAGACAGAATGCTGATAATAAATTCACTGAAGCAGTTAACACCTTGGATCCTACTCCATCAGAAGCCCAATACCAGGACAAAGCTAGCAATGCTGCAGGGTTATTCCGTATCTGAACAAAAGATATTAATCAAGTGGGATTCTATGAAAATACAATCTATAAATCAAACAAGTTAAGTCATTTCACAGTCAATGATGTTTCTCTCATCAAGTGCATATTGCTCACAATAGAAGTAGAAGCTTAAATTTTATTAGAAGGAACTGCTACCAGGTAAGAGCCTCCACAAGTATATTGTGGAGAAGGAAATAGATAGTCCCAGTTGCTTTCCAATGATACTACAAATCAACTAAAGTGCTGGAATTTATGGGCCTTTTTATAAAAAACAATACGTAGACACTCAAACATAATAAAACAACAAATATATGAACTGATGAATTACATTGCGCAAAGCTAAATGAAAAGGACCTTGCAAAGAGTTACTGCTTCAAAACAACTGAATTCAGAAGCCCGGCATAAGAAAAGTTGATGAGCATGAAAAGCATAAATAATAGCTTACTGAAAGGTCCTTTACAAGCATAACTTTGATTATGGTAAATTCAAACCACATTTTTTACATTATAATTAGTGAATTTAAATTCACTTCTTCATTGTTTGTGAGAACAAAATTACTCTAACTTCATATTTATGCTAAGTTTACATCTGGTTATGTCTTGAATAATTAACCTGCTAAGCTTCTGCAGTGATAAATGGACCTTGCACGTGTACCAGGACTTTTTCCAGGAAACAACATTCAAAGATCATTCAACCTCAAAAGATGGTATGCACAACACTGCATCCAATTGGGATTGAGGACTTAGAAACAGAAGCATTTTCGTTACATAGCCAGAAAGAGGAACCTTTTCAAATATAAAATATAAAGAAAAGGAAGAATCAGGAGGATGAGGAGAGGAGAAATTGCATTTTCCATTACTCTATAAAGTAGAAACTCCTTTATCCTATACTGTTAACAAGACTATAATTACAATTAGAAGATCATGTCCAAGAAAAAAATTAATGACAGATTTACCACAGTGGTCCTATTTGCCTCGTCCATCAACGATGCACCAGCAAGCATTTCTTTAATATCAATTCCCTGGAACGAGAATTGCTAATAAGTATAATAGTTCTAAAAATGATCAAACTCTGAATTTAAAGATCACTCACCTGAAGTGCTGCTGGAAGTAGACCAACTGCAGACATTTCAGAAGTTCTACCACCCACCCAGTCATACATAGGAAATCTAGCTAACCAACCCTCAATTCTGGCAGTATTGTCTAACAATGAATTCTCTTGTGTGATAGCAACACCCTGTGCAAGAACGGATATAAGCAACAAAACACGCCTTCACAGTTAGAGAAGGGAGGAAATTGCATATAAAAAAAACTAATTGGCTTCCCATTCATTGGATGATATCCAAAAAATTATTGGTGGCAAACGACCCAATGTATACCAGCAGGTTATCTAATATTTGTTAAGGTAGGGCCAGAAATCTGGAATAAATTGTGAGTTCGACATGCATAGAATACAAATACATTACTGTGTTGGCAAACATACTGTCAGAATATCAGATTGTAGCTTCATCTATATAAGTTTGTTTAAGTGTTAAAAAGATAATACTTGATAGTTTGTTGTAACAATTTTGATGCTTAGAAGCATTAGAAACAATATGGATTTTTATGGTTGCTCAGGTATTGGCATATATATTATATTCCTGGAAATTTTGATTGAGCCTTGAGATTTTGTTTAATAATAACAATTTTAAGTACTAATTCATATTAAATATAGCAAGTATGGAACCAAGTACCACAAAAGGCTTCGCCCAAGTGGTATCTCCTCTTCCTTCCAAATGGAAGGCGAAGGCTTGAAGTCCCCAACTATACAAATGGACACGTATGTGACTTAACAAAAGAAAAGATGATGAAAGCAAGTGCAATTAAGAAGTAAGAAATTTTTAGGGACAGAAAATTTCCTTTGCGTAAAAACTCAAATATATTGGACAGTTGAAATCAAGAAATATGAGGGAACTACAGAAGGATATCAAGAAGTTCAGAGAGAAGCAACTAAAAGAGGATTCCAAACTACATAGGAAACTCAACCAAGAACCGCAATATTCTGAACTTTATCTCCAGTTTCATACCAAAACAGAATTTTATATTTATACCCTGAAGAGAGCAGAAAATAAATAAAAGCAGAAACAAGAACCTGAGATCAAAACCTGTTTTGCAAATTCCAGGCCAGCTTCACGAAAGGCCTTCTGTACTTCCAATAAACCATTTCTAGTTTCTGGAGTACCTCCGCTCTGGGTACAATATAGTACAACATCAAATAAGACATAGGAGACAACTGTAAAACCCAAATTAACAAATAAATAAATAAGAGATTATTTCCAGACCTTTGAAGTCACTACTACAAGAGTAGAAGCCAACTCAAGGCCAAGCTGTGCAATTTGATGATCAATGCCAGCTGGATCTGTATTGTCAATGAACCTTATCTGGCAACATGGAAAGAAAACATTATCCAGGCATCCACACAGGCTCAAACACGAGAGAGAGATAGAGAGGGATGCAGACGGACAGACCCGGGGGGGGGGGGGGGGGGGGGGGGGGGGGGGGGGGGGGTGGGTGGGGGCGGTGGGGGTGTTGGCCAGAATAAACAGCATGAGTAAGGAGGATTATTTATTCACAATTGGTGGCAAGGACATTTTCTTTAGTTCATAGATATTGCTAAGGAACCCAGTCCTCAAGGGGAATCTAATATTTAAATATATAAAATCATTGAAACTGTAAGGAAAATGCTCCCTCCAAAACAACAGATAGAAGATGCTTCTGCATCCATATCATCGTCATCCTTGCCTTTATCCCATACGAATGGGGTCGGCATTTACAATATATATATGTATGTATGTATGTAATCAATGATAAATAAAAGATAGAATGCAGTTGCATATACAATAACTGATATTTGAAATTGTTAAATGTAAAGGGAAATATTATGCCATCTTAATCACAAACATTAAGCTTATTGGGCAATGTTGGGACATCAATCAATCGTGAGCATAGAATTTATTTATTTCACTATACTATTTGAGGATTGACATCTCATAATAGAATTGACTGCATTATTAGGCTGGAAGCACTTTGAGAGTCTGAGGCAGTGATGGAACAGAAAACATTAGCCAGACGGTCTTCAATATGATAAAACAAGTCAAATTTAATAAATTAGTCTACAAGTTATTTAACTATCAAGTACTGCATGAGAAATATACATTTTACCCAGCAAGGCTGTCAAGGTTTGCATTGCCTCTGGGAGCACTTTGCATCCACCAGCCACTTACAACCAGAATTTATTGCAACACTCGTAGTGGATAAATTTCAGCCAATAAATTTTCACCCATCTTGGATCCCTTCTAAATACTTACCACAAGGATCATTCAGCCAATTCTGTTCAAAGAATTTGGCAGTCATACACAAGAAGAAAATTGAAAAACTAAACCTAGTAATAACTGATAATACATTAGCAGGAGAAATATAGACCTTCTTACTAAGTTGATCAAGAAAAGAAAAAAGGATGTTGCATCCCCCAGCCACTTACAACCAGAATTTATTGCAACACTCGTAGTGGATAAATATCAGCCAATAAATTTTCACCCATCTTGGATCCCTTCTAAATACTTACTACAAGGATCATTCAGCCAATTCTGTTCAAAGAATTTGGCAGTCATACACAAGAAGAAAATTGAAAAACTAAACCTAGTGATAACTGATAATACATTAGCAGGAGTAATATAGACCACCTTACTAAGTTGATCAAGAAAAGAAAAAAGGATGTCATCCACGCGTTAATCACTTGATCATACAAGATTCATACCCTTTTCTGGTAAGTGACAAGATTCATAACATGCAAACAGGAAACAAAAATATATGAGGTAAATCTATATACATATATATATATATATATATAATATAATATAACTAGAAATAGTTCAAAAATCGAAGTAGCAGGAGCCTAATTAGAAATTTAGAAGAATAACAATAGCTAATAAGAATGACAAATTAAAACAGTAGCAAAAATATCATTAAAAAAGTTTCCATATACCTTCAAAGGAGGATTATCGGGAGCCAGTGCCTCCGCAACAAACTGCGGTCCAAGAGCAGAACCTCCAATCCCAACACAGAGTATATGAGTAAACCGACCTTCTGGGCCTTCTGGAGAAGAAGGTGGCTTAATCTGCATTTCAATGTCAGATAAGAACACAGTAGATAAACTGATCAAACCAGCGCGCACAGACACACACATAAATATGGATACAAATGTATATATTGGTGCCCACGATCAAAGTTGAACTCATCAACATTTCTAGCATAATAACTCAGTGACCAGACGATTCTCTAGAATCTGAAAACTTCATAGAAAGCAGTGAATTGAAATTGAGTAGAAACTGACCTTACCGTTGACGACTTCGTCCGCAAACTTGCAGACAGCTTCAAGCGTGTTCTCAATCTGCAATCTCAGAAACGAGTTCGGCGCGAGCCGAGGACTCCTCAGCCAGTAATGACCGACCATTCGCCCCTCATCAGGATTCGCAATCGCGCCTTTCTCGAGTTCCTCCATAGCTCGAAATGCGGCCTGAAACCTCGGCTCCATCTCCTCCAAGAACTCGTCCGTAAATCCTATCCTACTCACATCCAAATACAACCCTAAATCCTTGTGCTGGTACAACAAATCCACGTATCTTCGCCACAGCGCTCTGGCGTCTTTCTCTAACCCTTTCTTTTCGTTGAATGGACTTTCGTTGTCGGTCTTCGACAGACTCGCCGGAATGTCCCGAGCGACGGAATGAACTGAAAGATTCGAAGTCCGATCGCAACATCGATCGGAGAGCTTCGATCGATTCGGAAATGCAAGCAATTCTTTGCGAAGTGAGAGCGATGAAGTCGGTTTTGTTGTTCTGGAGATGAATTTTTCTGGTTTGAATGTTGACGATGAAGAACACAGACCTGAGATTGACGCCATGAGAAAGAATGAGAGAGCGATGAAAACGAGGAGGGAGATGGTTAGTCCGTAGGGGAGGGAAAGGAGGGGAAATTTTCGGAAGGTAGTGAGGTCTCGCTTTCTCTCCTGGTGATGGTTTGTGCGGGCTTGACAAGTTGATTGGTTGGTAGTGTTTTATGTATTTGCGAATATGGCCCTTTATTGGTGATGGTATTACGAATGTCCTTGGATAATGGGTATTCTTTGATACGTACGATTCACACGAGAAACACGAGGCCAGAATGGAACTCGCGAGGTGTGTGACAGCTCAGCATATTTATGCCAGGTCATCACAGAATCAATTTAGAAAGTTGTCACATGGACAGCTTTTGTTTATTTTCCAGGACATCACAAAATGTCATTTCACGCCAAGCCAATCAGATTCGACCGATTTGAAAAAAAATTAGAACCAAATTGTTCCCTACAATTTTATAAAAACGAAAATCAAATGGAATCGTAAAATCAATGGAAACCAACTAGTAAAATCGTGAGAAAATAGTTTAGGCTCGTTTATTTAGATGTAAAATATTTTTTTTTTAAATATTTTTTTATTTTTTAATATTTTATTATCATAAAATATTTACGAAGAAAAAAAATATTAAATTATAATAAATATAACTTACTCGTCAATTTTTAGCAAATTATTTTTCATGTTTCGTCCAATAAACTTGACCTCAACCTAGACCTTGCCAAATACCGAATGAGTAAAAATAAAAATAAAAACTATTTTATTTGAAAAAAAAAAATCTTTTTCGAAAAAAATATTTTACGTCCAAACAAACGCAGCCTTAGTTCAGTTTAATTTCACGATTCTAAATTTTGTTATAATTCAACCTATTATGATATATAATTGAGTGGTTAAAAAGTTAATCTTATTATTTTATTATTTATATAGTTACAAAATATATATACAACTTATAAAAAGATTCGGTTCGATTTGGTTTGGTCTAGTAGAACTTCAAATCGTAACTGAACTGTAACTAAACCGAATCATGAAAAAATGGAACCAAACTTTATAATCCAATTTGGTCCGATTCGATTTATCGGTTCAAATTACATAAACTACCCTCCAGAGTTTCATCTCTTGCATGCTGATAGAAGTTGGCGCATTATATTTGTCAACTAGCCTTGTGGTTTCATTGAATTGACGGATGACCTCCGTCTGCATGTTGAATGTCAAACCAAATAGGGGTAAAAATTTAATTGAACCAAAATAATCTTCTTTTGTGAGAAAATCGAATTATTTATTCATTAAACTTAAATTATTATCTTTACCTATACAAAAATAACCTTATTTTGTTTAGATCCGTTACCCACTTACACACTACCATACCCACTTCTCTTCCCCTCCCCTCAAACGTGTCTCCATGTTTTTTGGACAAGTTTGACCTCATTAGATATAACCACATCATAATAAATTGTGTGCATTCATGTAATTTCAAAAACCAAATCACATTTCCCAACTCTTGCTCAATGCGTTTGCGATATCTACTATAATCAAAACAAGCCAATGCGATTGGCTTGAGCTCCAAAACTTCATTTCCTTTTGCAATACGGCATCATCGGCGATAGCATTTTGGTGGTGGTGGTTGTTGGGTTGGAGATGGTGGAGATGGTTGTGGGGCTGGAGATGGTGGCGGTGGTTTAGAAGTGAGCAGGGGCAGAGTCAGGATAAAGTAAATAGTAAGATTACAATTTTTTGTTTTTTTTTTTTACTCATGGAGTGGAATTGACTTGCTAACTCATTATAAATCTATCAATTTGTGAAACTACAATAATGAAAAGTACATGAACAAAATTTCAAACAGATGATTTACTGAAAAAAAAAAATTTCAAGCAAAGAAAATAATAATGATAACAACAACAATATCAATGAACATTTAAATAATGGTAAACCAGTGGAGGTAGCATATGAAATTGGAACTAATTTAATGACTCAAATTTGATGAAAAGCACCCGTAAAAAATCACTAAACTTTGCAACAGTTTTTGAAAAAAACCTCAAAAGTTTGTAGCAACTAACGAAAACCCTCAAGAAATGTGTTATAATTAGTATGCAGTGGCAACAAAATTGATGAAAAAAAATTTAGAATAGCAAAAAATGTTGAACAATCTACTTTAAATCTTAAAACCAAACGATAATGGCACAATACTTACAACTGAAAACAAAAAATATCTTTCTAAACTCGAAATAAACGATTTTAAGCAATGATTCAAAGCAAATGATCAATACTGACAACTCAAAATGAGCTTTTCTTCCTAGAAATCGAATGATATTGGGTTGAATGATCTTAGAGTTTAGATCATGAATAAGGAACGATGTGTATTGACCTTCGTCATTGAGAAGATATATTAGGGTTTGCAGAGGGTGTTGGGGTTAGGGTTAGAGAAAGATCATATGGCTACTGAGATAACATGGCGAGAATGGATCACAATTATCACATAATTCAGACTTGACATGGTTAGGGTTTCCTAGGTTGGCCCAGTTATGTTTTACAATGGATTGGGCTGGGCTGAATGGTTTGTAAGAAAGAGGAAGAATAGTACATAAGCTTATAGGAATAGTAGTACTAAATATATATTTTTCATTATACTTGGGCTATAGCCTAGATTAGCCCATGAATAGTTCCTCCCATGGAGGTGAAGATGGTGGTGGTGACAGTGTTGGTTCATTCACCATAATTAGGGGTGGCAAATGGACTAGTTGGGCTGAGTTTGGGTTGTGTTGAAAATGGGTGGGTCAAGTATGGGTCAAGACCAATATTCAACTTGTTTAGAATGGGTTAAAAATGGGCGGGTCAAAATTGTATAGGGTCAACCCATTATGACCCGTGGACCCATTAATTATTATTTTTTAACTATTATTTTTAATTACTTAATTTTTAAAAAATTTTAAAATTTTTTAATTGTTTTAATTTTTTAATAAATTATTTTAAAATTTATTTTTTTAATTAATTTTTTTATTTTTAATATTTTTTTCGGAAGGTTTTAAAATTTTATTTAATGCTTAGTAACAAATAAAAAAAACAATGTTAAATATAATATTTATCAACTCGTTTTAGAGAGAGAAGTGAATGAAAGAAAAGAAATTTATAGAGAGGGAAACTTAGAGAGGGGGGATTGATGAGAGACAAATTGAGAGAGAGATGATGTGAGAGACATAATTTGAGGGAGAGAGAAATGAGTTGAGTGCAATATTGAATAGATGTGTGTTGTGGGTTTATTATGTGATAGGTGAAATATAAGTTAAATATGGGTATCTATATTCAACCCATCTTCACCTTTAAATTAAGTGGTTAAACATTACCCAACTCATTTTTGACCAATTGTAAATATGGTTTACCCAAGACCATTAAAAAGCGGGTTGATGGGTTGCGACCCATTTTGCCACCCCTAAAATACATTGTTTGGTGGTGATTGTTGGTTGGAGATGATGGTGTCGGTACTGATTCATTTGCCCAAATGCAAAGTGGTGATGGTGGTTTTGGGTGTGGTGATGGTGGTTTTGGGTGTGGAGTTGGTGGTGGTTGATTCGCCATACTATTACTCGTAGGGGTGGCGGTTCATCTACCGAAATACTCATAGTGCCGGCGACGGTAGTGGTTGCGGGGGTGGAGATTGTGGTGGTGGGGGAATAAATGATCTTGTCGAAATCATGGCTGCCCGGAAAGTATAGTGTTGTTAGCATGTTACATATAGCGACAAAATGAAATTAATAAAAAAAACAAAATTAAAATATGAAATGACCAAAATTAGGGACTTTTATTGTCCAAAAAATATAGAGACAAGCTTTTCTATACACGCACACACATGTTATATATATGGGAAAAAAGAGAAAGGAAGCCCAACTAGATTTTTTGAGGGGCAAAATTGTAACTTACCAATACACAATACTTTCTAAATTTTTTTTTAAAACAAATGGTTTAACTCTAAAGTAAAAAATGGTCAACTTGACCCTTTTGGTTTTATGGCTGATGGCTAACCTCGGGGCTCGGGGGGTGTTTTATGTAATTTGACCCTTATTTTAATACCGTGAATGATGGTTAAAAAGAAAAAGAAAAGAAAAGAAAAGAAAAGAAAAGAAGGATAAACGTTCAGGTGTTCTCCAGAATTTTCCATTATAAAATTTGCCAAACAGTGAGTACGCATCTTAAGCCCATACACAGAAAGAACGCAAGGAATTCTCCCTCTCTCTCTCTCTCTCTCTCTCCCCGTCACACACACACACACACACACACCACACATTCTCTCTGTCACACACACACACACTCAATTTCGCATTTGCGCCTTTGCGATTCCGAAAGCCGCGAACATGATGTGGGACGAATGGGACGACGTTGTTCGAGAAAACGAAGAAACAAAACAAGAAGACTCTCATATAAACTTCGATTTCTTCTCTGTTATGTCTAAACCCAAAGTAAGTTTATCATATTTAGCAAAACTAGGGTTTATTTACATACACATACATATACCTATCGCTTTCGTATCAATTTCGTGTTTTTGAAATATATATATATATAACTTCTGTATTTATTTCTAATTTTGTGATTCTATTTCTGACGCGCTTTTTGATTCTATATGTAGGATTACTATCGAATATTGGAAGTGGATTATGATGCTACGGAGGACACCATCAGAAACAACTATATCCGTCTCGCTTTGGTTTGTATTTGATTTATCAAATTTGTGCTGTTTCTTCTTGCATTTGATACTATTAAATTAATGAGCCATACTTTAGATGCTTAATTGGTCAAATTTGCTTATAATCAAATCCAATGCGTTCTCGCGCACGCACAATGCTATTTTTCTTGTCATTTTTGAGGTTATACATATACTCATGGGTCAAATTTGTGCTGTTTTTTCTTGCATTTGTTATTATTAAATTAAAGACCCATATGCTTAATTGGTCAAATTTGCTTATAATCAAATCTAATGCGAACGCGCGTTCACATCTTTCTGATGCTATTTTTCTTGTCATTTTTGAGGTTTTACATATACTTTATGGTCCAAATATTTTAGCTGAAACATTATTTTCCTTGTTTGGCAATTATAAACTGGTCTGCTTCTTTTGTGCAGAAGTGGCATCCTGATAAGCAAAAAGAGCAGGACTGTGCTACTTCAAGATTTCAAGAGATAAACGAAGCTTACCAGGGTCAGTCTTGTGCTGTTTATTTTTATTTTGTTTTTTAGTTGTTCTGAAACATTGATGTTTATATATAGACATTGATTTGTTGAGGCCTTCCTTTCAGCAACGATAAACCATGGAAACATGTAGCTTGATCAAGCCTATATGTTTATTTTATTAATTCAGGGAACGCTTGGACCAATAAATAGTGAATTTATTTCCGCTAGAAGATTGGGGTTTAGTAAATCAGTTTTGTTTATCATATGCAAAACTTATAAGGTCATTAGTTATGCTTGTTTTGGATTGAGGGGGAAATATATCGATGAAGCAGAAGTTTAGACCAAAGGGTTCAGGTTGTTGGTGTATGTTCGTTTTTTAGTTCACCAGATCAGTTTGGAGTGAAACCTATGTTACGAGGACGGGTATGTGTGTTCGATACGGGTATGTATCCATGCATGTTTAAGGAGTATATTATCTCCTATCTAGCTCATTTTGTAGTTTATACAGGGGTGGAATTATCAAAAAAAAAATACAGGGGCGGAATTAGAGCCCCCCTCCAAAAAAAAAAAAAAAACTCAATATATATTTTTTCCTTTTCAAATTGCTGTATTTATATTAATTGAGTTAAGTTAATGGTAAGTTTGCAAAATTAAATTACATGCAGTCCCTTCAAAGTCCATTGAACTCTTAGTCTTCCTTTAAAAAACCCAAATCTAGTGAAAAAAGTGTCCATTACTGAAGTGGCCTCTGCTAAAACATATCAATTTGTGAATATTACACACATTTGACTATGGAATTATTTTTTTGATGGATGAATTTAGGGTAACTTACATTGAAGTCCTTTGTCAAACAATCCTGTTAGATGCGGTCACCAGAGCTTGTAAGTTTGTTGTTTTTTTCCTCCAGTTATTTTAGTAATTTTTATAAAAAAATAAAATAAAAGAGAGACCATTATACCCCTCTTTTTAACTCCTTATTTCCTTTTTAATGCCAGTCCCTTTCTCTCTATTTATAATTCCTTAAAGAAACCCTTAACTACCTAGAGAACCACCTTTATTAGCCACCTCTCCACCATCTACTGTGCATATTATCACCCACTACATTAAATATACATCATCTTTCACCTATTTTTGCTAGATGGCGAGAAGAGCACTGCAATTATGAGACCCATTTGCTTTTAGGCATCTTTAGACAATGGATCTCGGCTAATAGGGAAGTATGTAGCGCTGTATGTGTAAATATGCATATATAGATATAAATGAACTGTAGGCTTCATTTTGGTTCAGAGTTTTGTGAAAGGATGGTTGGAATGGGTTTAATGGACTTGTCTTATAGGGAGATAGATGGAAGTGATGGTGGGTCATGGGTCTAAAGTAATGGCGAATTCAGCTAGAGAGATGGAGCAGGTAGGTGGTACGTAAATTGATTGTGGAAGAAGATGAATACACTATTTACTAACCAATAGTAACCAGAAAGAAAGAAGGGGATGAGAATGAGAATGAGAAGATGAGATGAGGCGAGACAAAGGAGGTGAAAAGACAGACGAAGGAGGTGATAAAATAGATTGGAGGAGGTAGGTTAGAAAGACTGAGGGATTAAGAACAACAAGAACAAGGAAGGAGAAGAGACACAAAGCGAGTTCGCATGCTCAACGATAATATTCAGTATTCTCAAAACTGAATTGTACATTTACAAAGAAGCCTTTATATAGGCAAAACCTTAAGCAAATCCTGATATATGAAAAACACTAAATTATCCCTAAAATAGAAAAATACAAAAATAATTAGGAACATAATAATGTAGCCCTAAGCTACAAAAATTCCTAATTCTATTTCTCTTTTCCTCTTGTCCAAAAATAACGTTGGAAAACGTGCAGCTCATGTGTGCGAATTACACCCTATTCCCTATCAGTATTTTCAGCAGATTTCATCACTCTTTAGAGGGTGCATTTTTCCTGGATTAGCAAGGCATGTTTTTGGTTCCCTTAACAATTCATCTAAAGTGGACAATTTTCCTTCCTTATCAGTCTTATCAACTATCTGAGGGAGAAAAAAAAAAAAAAAAATGAAGAGGAAGAAGAAAAAGAGAACATCAATTCGGTCCTATATTATTACTTGCCCTGTTGTTGAATTATGTGTACTCCCTATGTTTTGCTTAATCTACTCTTGCTATAGGTGACAGTACATGCCTGATCTTTTATATTATTGATTGACAAGCGATAAAAGTCATGCCCTTAATCTTGCCTTTCCCCTTTAGAACCCATGGTATCACTTTCTTTACTGTTTTATTGTGCCTAATCTTTTGGGATCTTGCATATGAAGGAAGCTTTTTATCTTATGCAAAGGGGTAGCTTGACCCCTTTTCTTTCTTGAGACCCGTTACCATACTAGGAAAAGCCATTTGATGCACGTAGAATGCCTTGAGAAGGGTCAAAGAGGGTCGAGTGTCCGACTCAGATATCCATGTACAACTTTTTTGTAGATATTGAATAGTTGGACAGGAGCCTTTTGGCTTGACACTTGAGAAATCAGAATGTTCACCTTTTCAGAAATAGAGAGAAATATAAGTTAGGTAGAGCTATATACTCCATACACTTGCAAATTAGTCCTCCTCGACTATGTTTGATCCTACTTTTAAAATGTGTGGCTATTCTAGATTCTTGGCCTAGCTGAATGGTACCATTATCATGATCTCTAGGTCTGTAACTGGTTTAGGGCATTCTGTTTGCTGCTTACCAATTTCTTTTTAGTTTCTGTTGGATGTTTTTGAAATACATGTTAAGAAATAGCAGTTTAGATGGTATAACGAATTAATTTATATCTAACAATGAAGTGTTTGATTTTTTATAACAGTTCTTAGTGATCCTATCAGAAGACAAGAATATGACAATAAAGGGATGCTACAAGCCTATGATTACAATATCATTGTGAGAATTTCTCCTTTTTTTCTTCCACATGAAACTCTTTAGCTATTCTACACTTCTACTTCCTCTTGGTCAGTAATCTTTCTTTTTCGGTGTGTAGGAGTACCTAAACCGTTACAAGGGCCTCATATTAACAACCAATGGCCTTGGGATGAAGCATTCGATATGGTAATATCCATGATGCACCATATGTATCTTGTGGTTCTGCAACCAACATATATTGGATGAGGATCAGCAGTTAGGATTAAGCAGAGGGTTAAACACTATCAGTTGCCCGTGTAAAACTGGAAAATGACGGGCTGTCAACATCATCATGTAACGTCGTATGCTTGCTCTTTGAACTCTTATAAAAAGGTTGTATTATGTAATCTTGTCACCTTTGGGGTTCTTGCAACCAGGAAAATTGGGCTGACTGTTTCCTTTGTAAGAAATACATTTTAGTGTATAAAGTAATGTCAGTGAATTGCCTGCTGAGAGAAAACAAGGAGTGGGGGCGAGTGCATAGTGTAGTTCTAGATCTGTTCCGGGGCAAACTACTGTTTGCAAGTTTATGGAAAGATTGAGACAATTTCTTTGAATTTCGTAGCTCTCTTGATCAGCTTCGTAAACTTGGTGAGCAGGACACTGCTGCTCTGTTACAGAAACAAAGGCGCCTAGCACCGTAATGGGAGTGGGGGCTAGCGCAAATAGCAGCAACACTGGCAATTGCCCTAATTGGAATGGTTGTGAAAGGAAATGCAATGTTTTGCCTTTCATCCGTGGGGCATCCATGATTTAAACAACGTGCGATGCAAAATGTTGACAATGAAAAGCTGTAATCAGAATGCCGTATCTTTCCTGGATTGACAAGTGTAGAAATATGGAAACATGTTTTCCCTTGGAAGAATTTAGCCCTTGAAACAGTCTTAAGCAATCTTATTTCTCAACTTATTTCAAATATAAACTCTCAAATAAACTTCTTGCAGTTCTTATGAATTTGAATTTGTCGTCAATCCGATAAGTGCAATAGAATTTGAATGTAAGTGAAATTGTATGAACAAGGTTGCTCATTAGTGTTACATTGTAGTTCAGTTTAATTAGGAAGCAAGAAACTTTTCTTAGTAACAAGTGAAGGCAAGGAGTAATGCAATTTTATCTGGAAGGAAAAAAGTGTAAAAATTGTTTTATTCTTCAAAGGAATAGGTATGCTGGACTCGGACACGGACATAACTCGAGAAGTTGACACTCAACTAACTAGAACACATTCTCTCGAAAAGCTGGACACTCAACTAACTAGGCCAGCGGGTAATGCCGTTTTAAATTTGAAAATGATTGATACTAATTAGCATGTAAAATTGCTCTCACAATCATCCAGCACCTACCACTTATGCTTACATTTTGGACAATTCCATATCGAGGGCCTTTTGATGTATCAAATGAAGGCTTCTAAGTTGGTGGATTACTTGAAAAACAAAAAAACAGTAGTTATTAGTGGACAGCCAAAATGTTGCTTGCATTGTTGCACGTCTTGTAAAATTTTAACACAAAGTTCATATTTCGTATTTGGACTGCTTGAACCACTCGCAAGGTGCCGCAAGGTCGACACCAGGCCCCTTGTGATTGCCAATTGGTCCGAATCGGACCACAAATCAGTTTCCTGTAATCAAGTGAGGCAGAAGTTTTAAACCCTTTGCGATTTTGCGCGGGTTGGGAATGTTTCTCGTTCAAGCACATATGCAGTTTCTCAAGTGATCGATCATCTGTACAAGAACACAGCACAATGTAGGAACAAAACAGAACAGAGATAGTAACAACAGAGAGGTCTATTTGTTCAGTTTAGTTATTAACATTATCAGCATCTTCAATTTATCCCGAACACATTTTTAGCTGATACCAAACTCCCACACCATTTTGCAAGTTGGGCCTTATTTGCATCGACCATGTCCCAATTTTGTTGGTGTTCATACCCCTTGCTCATCCAAGATCTTGTAGCTTGAAGACTCAGTCCCTTGTGCTGTTTTTGATCCATTCTAGGTACTGGATGTTGCCGCCAGTAATGGGCATGGAAATTACTTCAGGCACCCTGAGCATTACAAAAATCACAGAGGATGAGTAGAAAATCTCACTGTTAAATCTTACATCTATTTCAAGTCCTTTACTTCAATATAAGGATGTTAACATTTGGTAACAGAGACACCAAGTGCATAAATGATTGGGAACCTGGTAACAAGTAGTGTGTGGGTGTTTTGGTCCCAGATGTGGGGAAGGTTTTTCTCTCGTCTGTGGTGGAGTGGAGGGCAAGGTGTATGTCTGTGTGCAAGAGGAAAACACAACAATTTGCATTTTAAGCAGAAGAGTGTGTTGCACAAGCTTTAGCTTATTTAAGCAGGAAAGATTACAGTACCACTTACTCGTATTCGTGATTTGACTTGACGTGCTCAGTCAGAGCTTCCAAAAGAGATTCCCTAGTCTTAATTATAAGCAGCTCCTCAGAATCTGTCTGGATCTGGAAGAAACCACATAGAACTTTGGGGAAAGAACAGCATAACAAAACTTCTAAACCTCTTTCATGGAAGTTTAAGGCAGAAGGACTACTAGTATCCCCTCTACATTTTCAAATACGTGGGTGTTTGTTATACATACATATATATAGGAAACTACTCTTACCTCTCCCTGCCACTGATACACCGACTCAATACCTGCAAGCAGAATACAAATGGTTTACCAAGATGTTAGATTAAACAAGAGATAGATGGGAACTTTTTGTTGAAATAAAATTTAATTCAACATTTAGTCGAAATTAGAACTTTGTTATCAAGAACACTTGAACATGATCCATGCTGTTAAGTGTTAATTTAGTTCCAGCATTATTTTTGTTCTTGTAAGAACATTGAAAGAGCACCTACATCATTAAGAAATTGTAGTGAGTGGATGCTTGGTGCAAGTTGGGAAGGCCCAACCCCAGCCCCAGACCAACACAAATTCGTTACAAAAATTGAGAATCGAATAATCTACCTTATTTTTACCTTCCTGTTGATTCCCCCGACAATCAAGCTGCACTTCCTAAGGAAAGAGAAGTTCAGGCAATAACTTCGTATACACTAAAATCCTTGAGAAGTTAAGGCAATAAAAAGACAAATTCATACATAAACAATCAGATACATATTAAGAAAATTGAAAGGAAAGAGAGCCTTGTAAAGTATCCAAGTGATTAAACTCCAAGGTGACGCAGACAATGATATTTGATGCAGATCAAAATCTACAATTACCCGAATCAAATAGATTTTTCTGACGAACCCTAATCTGATGCCACACCAACACAAACACACAACCTAAAACTCCTTCAACAAAACATAAAATCAACGAACACGTACGTTTGTGGAGACAGAGACCTTCTCACAGAATGGCAGTGGTGGATTGGCGAAGGCGAGGGAGATCGGAGATGGAGACAGAGACCTTTGAGAA